TGATTTATCAGCGTAATCAGCGCACTATTCTCACTGGTTTTTAGAACTCTATAAGGACCCTTCCAGGGATTTACTAGCTTTGAGTTACGTGAAGACCGCTTTTCGCCCGGAATCTTCATATAGACACGATTGCCTACTTTTGGAGGACTGGGACAGTCATTCACCCCCTTTTCACGATAATACACTGCCTTCATGCGGTCTCGCATCCTATCATTTTTACCCCGCGGGCATATTCCCGTGCTATCAGCGTGTCTACAACTACCTACCTCTTGCTTATAGCTGTCTATATCCACGCATACTCACGGGCCTCCACCTCCAGGTCTCAGGGGACGTGTGCATCGAACCCGTGTAGCAAAAAGAAGGGAGACTCCCCGGTTGACTCGTGCACGGTGGTGCTGTACGCAAACACGCATGCGGGCAGAATCTTATCCCATTCCACCGCCACTCGAACCTTCTTCTTCAGCATCGCTATGATAGTCTGATTAAACCTTTCAGTGATGCCATTTTCTCTCGGTTGTATCCTTTAATGAAAATCTGTTCGAACCCCAGAAGTTTGCTCAACTCATCCATCAGCTTGTTCTCGAATTCTCCACCTTGATCCGAGAGGACGCGTTTGGGCTGGCGGCCATCCGCCACCCATCGTTCGAAAAACACGTGAGCTACTACGGACGCAGCCTTTGATGGGACTGCATAGACTCCGCCAAATTTCGAAGTCGTCCACTACTGACAGAATGTACCGATTCCCTTAGGACCCATTTCCAATATATCCATACCAACTACCTCAAAGGGCTTAATGGTGACAATTGGTTTCAAAGGAGGCACCATGGCTCGCTGAGGGTTGTGACGCAAGCATTCGCGGCACTCCTCAGCCCAGCGCTAAATGCACGTCTCATCATATTCTCTCAGAAGGATCTCTTAGACAGCTCCCGCTACATCTTCTTGGCACCGAAATGTCCCGCTAACACTCCGTAATGCGCATCTTCAAGGAGCTTCTTTCTTTGACCCGGTGGCACCACCTTTCGCAGGCGATCCTTGTCCACCAGCATGAGGTGACCTTCACTCATAATGAAGTCAGCCACATTGTACCTAACATTCGCCTCTATGAACTTCACCTTACTCTGTACCGCCTCCTTCTCAGGCTCTCTATCACTTACCGGTAGACTGGTACCTCTTTCGTCCACTGAGTCTCCTCAATCGCGGATGCGACGGCCAGCTCACCTGGCATTGTCTCGTCACTCTCCGGGTGACACTCTATTTCGCGTGCTGCACCCCGGCTCAATGCATCCG